TAGCCCACAAAGAGATTATCAATCACGAGAGGGGAGTGGGCGTCAGTCCTTCCCAACAGAGTACAAAGGGGGAAATCTTAAGAATATTAAAATCCCTTATGGGCGATGAGTAATGGCTTGTCCCGAAGTCGAGAATCTCAGGCAATTTCCAACCTATTCTCCATCTACTATGCTCCGAGGAAGGGCTAACGATTGAAACGACAGCTTTTCAAATGCGTCATAGCGGTTTGTCTATCACTGTAAACCTCTAGTTGTCAACCACGTGCTGGAAACGCTTATTTGATTGTCACATGAAGCATTAAGCTTCGAATAATTATCGATGATCGTTCGTTGATCTTTTAAATACAAGGGCTGTTGAGGCCCAAAAAATTCAACTGGAAAGTTTGCACGACTTTTTGGACTGTCCATCACTTAGAAGCACGTGAGACAAAGTAGAGGTTAGTTTTAGATTTCCATCTGATTGACTAAGTTTGTCGCATGAGTCTTGAGATCGATCACACAGCCCAGTACAACAAAACCTACACAAGGCTTTATGTTCGACTCTGGAAAGAGATTTTCTCTAACTCGCAGGTTACAGGAGTCACTTACAACAATCCACTTACCAGTGCCAAGAGGAAGAACTGCTGATGCAGGTAACTTACACTTCAACTCTTGAGCAACATCTTCCAAACACGACAACATCCAGCCAACTGTCCCATCGCCACCACAGATCAAGACACGAAAATCAGGAATAGATCTGAAAGCGTAAAATCTGAAACAAACACAATAATCAATTCTAGACCACGGGAGAAAGATGAGAGAAGAAAAACAAGGTTCGTAGCATTGGGTATAAAATAGCTCTAACTGATCAAGATGCAACCTAAGGGACAAAATTAGATTTGTATCACTTAATTTTTGTTTTGTAAATACACAAATCAGTTTTCGAATTGCTACGAACTTAGTAATGAATAAAATTCAACTTCAATTGCAAAAATAGAGTTTTCTAGTTACGAAGGGCAGGAGTTTAACATACCCTAAAAATGGGCCTCCCTCTGTGAGGCTGTACACTTGATGAGGGTTGAGCAGTCTCTGGAAAGCTGCTGACATGTCGGCCCCCCTGACCACCTACACTTCTGGAGTTAACCAGTACTAGAAGGGGTTGGATCCCAGGGGGGAACAGCCCAGGCTACAAGAAGGAAGAAACAAAAACGACAGGATAAGCATAACTCCTTTTTTGATTCAGGTCAATCTTTTTTTTTTTAGCTTTGTTTTTAAAGTACTTCCAGAAATACTCTAGAGAAAAACCTTTGCTCTTGAATTTGCAGCTACTTACATGAATAGTGGGTAGGACTCTCACAAACAGCTCTTTGTTGTCCATAGTGGAATTTTTGAATTTATTTACAGCATCGGCTGCTGTGTCAGCGGCAGGAAATAACACAAACACCATACCTGGAAAGAGTTACAATGTCAACATTGGGTGACGTAATTAACGGTAAAAAACTACAAAAACAAAAGAAAAAAATAAACCTCCTCAGTCGT